GGCTAGTTTGAAGGGACATCGAGGGCAAAGAAGAGCTTCATTTGGTGGAGGATTCAGTGAGACTTGGATACTAGTTGAGGTAGGACAAGAGCGAACAGCGGCAGAATTTCCACCCGAGGCACTACTGTTAGTACAATCGTCTGAAGCACCCGAGACAGATGGAGGAGTGTTGGAGAGGGGGTAGAGGTAAGCTGGGGGGAGGTTGGGTGTTTACGGTGTAGAATGTTTTTCGCAGGATGAGGAAGCATCGGAGTACATAATCATAAGAGCAAGACGGTTCATGGTTGTGTGCGTCGCGGGCTATTGTACTTCGGTCGCCCGGTCCAGAGTAGGCCTTGTTCAAAGATGAACTCTAGCCTTTGCGCAACCAAGCACAGACTGCAAAACAGAAGTAGCGTTCCAGTTGAGCCGATGGTCAGTCTTCGGTTCATTGGTCGCTTCTGGAAAACCTTGTCGAGCAATGGATCTCGACAAGGAGCAATGGCCATATTTAGTGGTGGGCCACACTTGCCACGTCACAGCGCTGTCCACAGATATTTGTGATGTTTTGTGTGAAGAACCCTTGCGAGGGGTACACCCACCACATCTTCGAGCGCTGCCACTGATCGTCTGCGACCGCTTATTCGGAAGGCCGAGACCCACCTTATTCACGGTTAGCCGTGAGATGGCGGACTTTCCCCTATCCATGACCTGGGGACGCGCTCCGTAGCATACAGCTCTGCTCTCCATGAGGCTAATAGCCGATCCCAAACGTAACCGAAAATTAACGTACCAACGAAAAAATGCTGCACATAAACCCGAAGGCCTTGCATGGCATTGCTCTAGGAGCTGCCACACCCCTGCGTATTTGGTTTACACTTTCACTGGATTGTGGGTTAAACTTTTGAGTCGAATGCTCTGACCAGATTCACTAAAAATATCCCCTTACTTGGTGTGGGCTATCTCGAAGTATGTCGCGTCCAAAGTCAGAGTCACCCTTTTGAAACACTCTCTTGGCCAAATAATGGATTTCTATCGAAATAATACAACAATTCTATAACTCGGATAAGTTAAAGGTCTCATGATAGAATTTGATACAGCGAGGGTACCCTTTGATATATCTAAATGACTACTGAAAACAATCGATGCTTGCTAGGAGACGACTGAAGTTTACAAACAAGAACAGCATTACCTGTTGACGAATTGATGGAGCTTGTTAACCTCTAATCTGTACTTCTGATTCAAGTGTACCAATAGATACGAGGAATTATCATGGGTTCACTACCCTCGGGCGTACTTGCAGAGGCGATTATGGATCTATTCGTAGGTAAGGCGTCTGAAGCCTTTCATTCTTACCTCCAAATCCTATATTTAGATGGTACGCTCGTGATATATCAAACTAATTCAGCAAAATATTAACGAACCATTATCTGGAATCAGATTAACACGCCACAACTTAAAAGTACACCCAACTATTCTGTTTCGATATTAGAACACGAAGTAGCAATCGTGATTGTTATTAGTGGTTGATAATGATGCTAACACAGCGTAATAAAAGTGACTAATTATGGATAGAGGATTGCGAGATGACAGGAGAGTTTCATCGAAAGCCAATTATTACCTGTTTGGGTGCTTCAGGATCTGTCATATATCGGATTTTTTTCAAAGAAGCACTCAGACTCTTGTATGTTTCGATCATCGTTAATCTTTGTGCTTATTCTGTTAGCGGTTTTATAGGTATTCACAATATTTTTTAAAGCTATTTTCATGTAACTGGTTTTGATCCTGCCGCACATCCCCCAGGGCTTCTTCTAAAAGAAGATATCCCTCATCTTTCGGGTTTTACTGGCAAGTCGGGAAGGACAAACCGAAACTAAGCATATCCTTACTTCCTTCAAGCTTTCGCAAACAGCTGTCACTAAGGGACTTTGTGGATAGGATGCGTAGTTCGGGTCCCAGATACAAGAGATTGTATAGTGAATTCATTTCGGTTAGACGATGACCACCT